ACGGGCAACTTCCGCACGGGCATAGGGAAGAAGGAGAGGAAAGAAAAGAAAAAGAAAAAAAAAAAAAAAAAAGAAGGAAGAAGTCAAAGCGCAAGTTTGTCCTGACAGCCAAAAAGAAAAATTAAAAAGAAAAAGTTCTAGATATACATGCATATATATACATATATGTAAGTGAGTGCCTCATTCATACTTTAACTCATTGCTCTTGATTCTGTTTGTAATGTATGCGTGCATAAATGCTCTTTTTTGTGGGTCTTGTTTTTTTTTTTTTTTTTTTTTTTTCTTTTCTTTGTTTGATTGGAGTCATTTCCTCCTCACATGCCTTTTAAACACCTGCCATCAATATTCTCGTGTTCAACTACGATTCTGTCATTCGCTATAAAAATAAAAATAAAAATAAATATTTATTTTTATTTTTATTTTTATATTCGGTTCTCATCCCTTCTCTTTTTATTTTTATTTGTGTTTGCAAAAGTGTGTAAAAAAAAAAAAAAGGAGTATACGTCTCTTTTGCATGCATGCATGCATATATATATATTATATTATATTATATTTCTTTATAAATGGATGGCCTGCGTGTGTATTTGTGTCTGTGTATTTGTGTTTGTAAGAGAGTACGTGCGTGTATGCTTCACGGGTTATTTTCTTTTCTTTTTTTTTTTTTGTGCCTCTTCTGTTCCTCATTCAAAAGGATAATTATTAAAAATAAACGCATGTCACCTCAAAATCCGTCTCTTTTTTTTTCTTTTCTTTTCTTTTTCAATTGCGTGTTTTAAAAGCACTCATTTGTGTTGTTTTTGTCCCCGCCTTTTCCCATCTCTCCGTTCCCGCGTTTACACAAGAGCCAGCCTCCCTCCTCTCCCTATTCTTCTCTCTCTAATACCGCCTAATATTTATTTATTTATTTTTTTTTATTTTTTATTTTTTTGTGTGTGGTGCACACGTGTGTTTGTGTGTTTTGGGTGACTCTGTGCAAACACGTCTACGCCTCTTCCTCCTTCCCTCTGCAGTCTCGTGTTTTGGGTGCCGTTGACACAATGCATGCGCCACGATCATGTGGGACGCGTCTGTACCACTCCTGCCTGTAGACACACACACACACACACACGACAACAACGACAAATAGATGGGGTGGAAACATGTATACTTACAAATGATACTGTCAATATGTTCCCATGCCCCTTTTCCCCCCTTCCCTTTCTTTTTTAAAAATCACTATTGCGTGATTGTTGATGGAGTCGTATCTTTACTTTTTGGACTTCTTTCCCTTCGCGGTAGACTTTTTCGCCACTGGGGATCGTGCACGTTTGGTTCCGCCGGTCTTTCCTTTTGGATTCTTCTTGCCGCCGTCACCTTCTGCAACCTGAGGGGCGTCATCCGATGCCGGATGCGGCTGTTCCCTCTTCGCCGGTGTCTCCGTATTCTCCTCCTCGTTCTTCTCCACAGTCGCCCGCTCTTCTTCCTCTTCTTCTGCTGCTAACACTACAGTCGGCTTGTCCGCAACGTCAACCCCTTCCTTTTGACTCGTTGTCTCCGCCTCATCGGCCTCCATATTCTCCTTCCCTGCTGTCGTTGCTGTTTGTGGCTGCTCGGTCGTTCTCACTGCCTCTGCCGGCTCGTCCCTCGCATCATGCGTCTCCTGCGCCACGCCCTCTTCCGTGGCTGATTCCGCCGGCGGCAGAGGGTCGGGTGCCGTTGCCTCAACGGAGACTTTGACGCTTCCTTCGCGTTTTTCATGATCACAGGTTTCGCTGGCAGTTTCTGTCGTCTTCTTCACGGTATCCGTGTGCCTCGTGGAACTCTTTGACGATGACGCCGACGACGACACGGACGAAGAGGAGGAAGAAGAGGAAGACGCCTCGTCATCATCATCATCATCGTCTGTGACACCGATGTCGGCCGGGTTCAGCACTCGGCGTGACGAGAAGGGCGCCACCCGCCGCGGCACAACCGGCTTCTCCACGCGAGTTTTCTCAACCGTCTCGTTCTCGTGGCGCTCCTGCGAAAGCTCGCTGGATTTGTTGCCCTCACTCTTCATCTCGCCGGCGTGAATGTCGTTGCTGCCCTCCTTGCTGTTACTCTTGTCGACAACCTCACTTTCATTCTTTTTCTTATTGTTGTCATTGTCTTCGTCGTCGGAGCTGCCAACATCAACATGCGCAACAGGCAGTTGGCTGTTCTGAGTGGATGCCAGCCCCTCAGCATCGGGTGTACTGCCACCAGTACCCCCGCGTCGACGCACCGCCTCCATCTTATCGCGCGAACGCTTCTCGCGGTCTTCCGCGGTTCGTGCGAGTCCCTCCCGCTCCTTTTCCAACACAAGTTCGCTAAGACGATGCCGCTCCTTCTTTGTCATGGCCTTAAGCTCCACGTGCTTCCCGGCAATCAGCTGCCGCAACTGTGTCTCCGTGTGGTGCCGGTGGAGGCAATTACTGCGAGAACAGTAATTGTGGATTAAGAAGTGCGCACAGACCTGCTGTTCAAAAAGTTCCACGGGCTTGCTGTTCGCCACCTCTGAGCCTTTCGTTTTGAGCATCAAAACAATACCCCCCTTGCAAAAGACATACCTCGGATTCTTTGTGGCAGGTGGTATCTCGTGCTCGCGAAGCCACACCGTGCAACGCGGTCCCGGCATTGTAGCGCACATCAACTTTTGCTGCGGGTTCATGTACATCTCGAGGATGTCAGGTGGGATGGGCGGAAGATTCGGTAACGCCTCCGGCTGATCACGCACAGGCGCCTGAAACGGACTGTGGGAAAGTATGCCTCGGCCAACGCCAGCACCTCTGTGCCCCATAATGGGCGGCGACACCGTCCCCATGGCGTGTGGGAGGTGATATGTATTGGGTGCGGGCATCAACCCGGCACTGCGGCCTCCCATCGACATCATGGGGTTAAAGTAGTTGTTGTTGAACCCCGCTGAGGGGACGGAGGGCATCATACCGGCACTGTTCATCATCATATTTCCACCGGCAGGCACATTCCCTGAGCCCATCATCGCACCGCGGTTGAAAGTCATCGGGGGCGGTTGCTGAAGTGGTGAGGCATGCGGCGGCATCGGCGAACGCTGTTGTTGTTGTTGTTGTTGTTGTTGTTGAAGAAGCTGTAGCAGTAACGCCTGATTCAAGTTTGTGCCGGCGGCGTTAAAAGTGGGATTCTGTCGCATTCCTAACGCATCCGCCATTCGCGAAATGCCCGTCATGAATTGCTGTGGCTGCTGCTGTTGCGGTGGTTGTGGCTGTTGCTGGGGTTGCTGTTGCTGTGGAATATTCTGAGACGGCGGAGGCGGCTTGTTGGCATCGTAGCATCGCTTCAGTAGGAAATCCTGATCCTCCATACAAACGCGACGAAACTCATTGACGGCCGTAATGACATCCTCCGGTGTCTTTCCGCCTGGAATCATCGCTGCCGTGCTTGGGTCGTTGACAATTTGTATGGGCATGTCGAACAGGTAAAACGAGCGCGACAGTTCACGGGGAGAGGCAAAGTTGAGGATTTGCACCGGCTTCGTTTCACCCGGTGCGGGTGTATGCCCGGGCACCCACAACGTGCGTCCTCCCGTGATGTAGAGGAAAATGCTGCTGCTCACGGCCATTCCCTACACGAGCAAACAAAAGAAAAGAAAAGAAAAAAAAAAAGGTGTACACCGGCAGGGTACGCATTGCACAAATAACCCAAGAAGAAAGGGGTAAGGGAAAGAGATAGAGAGAAACAGAGAATGTGGGAACACAAATTGCACACAGAGTGAGTGGAGGCGGGGGGTATTTACGGAGAGGGAGAGAAAAAAAAAAAAAGGAGGGCACTGAAGCAGGACACACGCACACACACATGCACACTCAATAATAATAATAATAATAAAGAAATGGAGGCATAAACTCATACAAATACACACTGTCAGAGAGTAAGATGCTTCCAAAGCATAAGGAAAAAAAAAAAAAAAAAAAAAAAAAGAAATACCCTCCTTCCCCGTTCCTTTCCTTTCCTTTCTCTTTTAGAAGACAAACGACAACAATAAGCAAACAACATTCATGCCGCTTAAAAAAAAAAAAAAAAAAACAAACCATTCCTCTGTGCATAAATTCTAAACCCCACACTTCCGTCTCTTTCATGTCCCACTACATAAACATTCACACATATAATGTGTATGTGTGAATGTATCTACATACCCAACAGTGTTTATTATATAAATATAAATATATTTCATTCTTCTTGTTTTTTCCCACTATGCGGCTGTTTTCTTCAAAGGGTCCAAGCAAAAAAAACAAAAAACAAACAAACAAACCAAAAACAAAAATCCCTTTTAAAACTCTTTTTTCTTTTCTTTTTTTCCCCTCCTTTCTTTCATCACAGCACCAGTAGATAGGCATCATCGAGGTATTGCCTGGTCGTAACGTTGTATCCCCCATATAGCAAGATCATAGCATTCGGATTGTTTTGTGACGCCGGCAGCAGGACTCCACTAGGCATTGCACGTCCACGTGGAATTGAATGCATAGGTGCAACGGTTGTTTGTACTTGTCTCCACATGAGAGTTCTTAATGACAACTGAAAAATGGCAAATTGACGTTGCTCCTTGTATGATCCCATCACGTACATCTCATCCTGGTGCCGCAAGGCAATGTGTCCGGATTGGGGAATATCCGATAACATCAGGCTTTGTGTTCCGGCTGACGTTTGCAGGGAACGCCATTTGTATTCGACCGTGTCAAACTGATACAGTTTTGGTGACACATCCCTCCTTAAAGATGAGGCAGCAGCAATACTGCTCCAACGACCCTCACCAGCCCCGTCTCCTTCAACGTTTGTGCCAGCGGATGCACACATCCCTCCGTACACCATGATGTAACGTCCCTTGTATTCCACGGCACTGTGGTACGCAATGGGCGGGACGCTACACAACCATTCTTCTTCTTCTTCTTCTCTACTCACCGCCGTTGCCGCTGCAGATACCGCTGCCCCTTCATGCGGAAGCGATGGCATTTCTTCCTCCTGTTGACGCCTTAGCGATTCAGACTGCTGTGGCCATGCCGCAGATGACCAAGTTAACTCCACTCGATTAACGTCAAAAACTCCCTCAAAAACCTCGGAAAAAATCCGTCGACTCACTCCAAACAGTTTCTTGCCGCCAATAAGGTAAAATCGATTACCCACTACCGTTACGGTGTGACCAGAGCGCGGTTCCACGGGCGTACCACGTACCTTCACCCGCATCCATGTGTTTCTTGTGATATGATAGAGCCACACGTCATTCAGGTGACTGTGCAGGTCGTTGCCGTAGAAAAGCAGCACATACCGATTATGTAAAACGATCATCGCGTGACCCGAACGGGGATCAGGACATCCTCGACCGTCGTCTCCAGCACAGAAGGGTTGAACCAAATCATATCTGAGACGCTGCATTCTCACCGGGCGTGCATTTTCACCGTCCCCCACGATTCCTTCACTGCACTCCTCGTCCACACCGTCACTCTCCAGCCAAAGGCGATATAAAGAGTCAAGAACCGCTTCGTTCTCCGCACACCCCCCAAATAGAAAGACATCGTCATTTGCCAACAGACATGTGGAAAAGCAACGGCCTTCAAGAGGAACAAATGAATTACTCTCGTGAGAAAGGGCTCCTCGCGCATACTCACCAAAATCTGCTGGGGCGATTTCACACTGTTGCCACTGAAATCGCGTTGTAACAACTTCGTTAACAAACTCGTTCAGACCGTAGTACTTTGCCTCATCCATCAGTCGCCTCCATTCAGTGAGGGGAAGTTGCGCAAGCCTGTTATATTCCGTACCGCCTGGTAAAGGGCCTGAGCCAAATTGTCCCGCTTCGATGATTCGTTGCCGCCGCTCACGCAGCAGGAAGAGAAGCTCACGGAATAGCCACGGATCACGATCAAAGAAGATGTGTCCAAACTCATCCTTCTGCGCGTTTAAGCGCTCATCCTCCAGTAAATGAAAGATTGTCATCGAGAACTGAAGAAGAGTGGCCCGCTGCACATGGAAACGCATGCCTCCAATATTCAGCTTAATCTTCGGTGAAAAAGAAGAAGTGGCAACCATTTCGGCACGATGACGCAAAGATCGTTCGTGTTGCTCCATCCGTTGACGTTTCAATTGAAGTCGAGAGAATGCAGATTGACTGACACGAATATACGCCTTCGCGGAATTCTGCAGATGCTCAAATTGGTTGAGAAGAGTCTCCATGACAACCTCGTCGTTGCCAGCGTCACCCCTGTCGCTCCCACCATTGGCGCTTTCTTCGTTCTCCTCGTTGATTCTGTTTTGCTGCTCTGCGTCAAACGCATGCGTTTGAGGCTCCTGTGGCGACGGGTTTTCACTCACAAGTGGAAGCCCTTCGTCGCCCACCAATTCCGGCGTCTCGTAGAGTTTAGAGCTCATCTTTTACTTCCTCGCTTTCCCACACACACACACACACACACACACTTTCCCTCTTTTCCCTTCGCTTTCTTCGACAGCTTGATTTTGCTACTCCCCGTGTGTGCTTCTGTGCAAATTAGGCAAATAAAAAAAGAAAAAGGGGGTGTATGCATCCCACAGAAAAACTTATGTTTCATTGCTGGGAAGAAGCGCTCCATTCTGTTCTTTGCGTATTAAAAAAAAACAAACAAAAAAAACCCTTCCCCCACTCATCCAAAAAGGAGGAAAAGGCCGCGGCTGTGGCTGCAAAGCGGATTCACCAAAAAGAAACAGCCCGCACCTTGCCGTGTATCACCGATGCCCAACAACCTTCGGTCCAAATTCTCTCCTGACGGGCAAGACGGTCCTTTGCAGACTACATCAAAACCCCCCTTCTCTTCGTCATCCCCGTTCATTTTCTCCTACTTCTTTACCATCATCCATTTCATCGGCTAGATCCTGTTGTATCTTTTCCGCCACCTGCATTTGTATCTCCAGCCTTTTTTCATGCACCTCCATTTGACGCCTCTTCAGTTCCCTTTCCTCCTCCGCCACGGCATCCAGTTCCTTAAGTCGTGTCTCGCGTTGCATGCGTAATTGCATCTCAAATTCCATGACTTGCGCAACCGCCCCCCTTCCGCACCGCTGAAGCAGCTGCAACGTGTCCTTCATTGGAAGCTTCATAAATGTCAGGTGATTGAATTCGTAATAAATCCCCAAGAGGGCATCAAGCTGCCGACGATGATAATTTGCCAGTTCCTGGTCGTTTGTCGTTCCACCCACCGAGGCACCCGAAGGAGCTGCAGCAAAGAAAGACTGTGCATTTGTTTCGTTCCCAGAGGACTGTTGAGGTGGAGGGCCGTCAGGCGCTGCGGACGTCTCTGCAGCCTGACGTTCTTCAAACATTGTCCACACGTCCTCGTCCCCCTCGGGCGGCTGAGAATCATTTAAATTCCTCTTCCTTTCAGGCCGCCCCTCCCGTGACACAGCCGATGCCTCTTCGCACTTCTTTTGCATTCGCTTTCGCGCCGCTTCTATTCCTTCCGGCGGGTACATGAGAATGGGGTTGCGTGCGACCATTGCGTGGAGACGAGGCAGACCCTTCTCACCATAAATGACTTGTCTAAACCGCTCAATCCCGCGGATGTCACGGGGCCGCTTTTTCGCTGCCGCGGTGGGGACGTTGACTCTGTCGCCATGCTGCTGCCTCTGCTCCTGACCGAAGCTGACAGCCTTCATTGTAGTTCCACTTCCTTGCGGGTCTATGCTGAATGGCGCGTGGGCCATGTTGTCTCTATGCTTGAACATTACACGCCTATGAATTCCCTTCTGCCGTTATTGAGCCTCCTCGTCGTCTCGGTCCCTCTCGTTTTATTCAAACAAGACAGCACCGTTTACTCGCACTCTCCCATCCACCCAAAAGAAGAAATGACAAGAGCCAAATACAGGAAAAAAAAAAAAAAAAGAGAACGAGGAGGGGAATCAAGTTGAAACGGAGTATACACACACACCCGCTGAAAGAAAAACACAAGCCTACACGCAAACAGGCGCACATTTAACCCCGCAACTTCTACAGTTTGGTATTGCTTATCACAGTTCGAAGCGCTCAGCGGCTTTTTTACCACCAAATAGGTTCGCACGGAGCTGGCGGAAATTGAAGTCATCGCTTGGTGAACGGTCAGCCTTTGCGTAGTGATACGGATCTTCTTCCCAACGCTCATAACGTCGCGCGTCGTTATAACCAGCATCATATGCCTCAAGCAGATCATCTTTTCGTGCAGTTCCACCAAAGTTTGGTGCAAACGCAAGCCATACTTGACGCCAGAAGGGGAAATGCGTATTAGCGACAAAGCCATGCCTTCCAAAAAATATATTGTGCCGTGTTTGTTGCCTGTTATAACGATATCCCGCATAACCATGAATGTAGATGTGACGACAGTATTGGTCAAGTTCACTACTAAGCGACATCATTGTTCCCCGCACAACATTATCTGCGTCACGGAAAACCATCGGCTTTTCCGTATTTGGAGCTGTAGCCGCCATAATGCATTGCGCCAGATCGTTTACATCGTCCCACTGTGCAATGTGATGGCCAAAGTGAACATTCTCCTTCGTCTGTCTCATGTAACCTGGATCCTTGTTTGAGAAGCCAATAGTGAGAGCCAGACGTCCGTTCACAAGTTC